GCCTTTTCTTTGCAGCTGCTTTTGCTGAGATTAAAGAAATCTATCAGGAAGAAAAAGAAAAATTGAATGATGCGATCTGCTATTGCTGCTGAAATAAAAACCTGTAAGTCTATATAGGAATTTGATCACTGAGCCATACAGCCGTTAGACGTATTCTATTAAAACTAATCATGTCATTGAATTGCGTATCCAAAAACTCGAAAGCTTGTTAAAGTACTAAAAAGAAGAAACTTGTAGATGAGTTGAGCTTATGGTTTTTAAGAATAAACACCTGTTAAGCGACATAAAACTTCTCAAAGCGCCCTGGTTTCCATGTAAAGAGTGCATTTGCTCAGAGAGATGATGAAGGTTTCCATTTGTGGAACAAAGCTACTCCACTCCCATGGAGATCTCCAACCCGAACGCCAAACATGTGTATGGCGTTTAATAAAAACTTCAATCATGGGCCCCCGTAGCGTAAATTAAATATCGGTTTAGGAGGAAATATTGAATGAGGGGATTGTTAAGGGATTTAATAATTTCCTTTTGCTTTTAATTAGTCTTCTTGTTAGGTTTGCAATTATTTGAATTTGAAATTAGATTTGGGATCTAGTATTCTTTTGGGCTCTAGGCTGGGCTAGATAATTTATACTTGCTAGAGCTGTTTCTTCCTCTCGAATTAAGAAACATGTATTCTTTTTTATTATTTTCCACAACAACTAGTGGAAAACTTCATTTTTTTTTCAATTTTCCCATGAAACCTACGTATTTATCTGATTCTACTACAAATCAAAACATTTACTCATTGTTGCCACCAATTGTGTTAGGTTTGCTTGCGAACTCAAGTATTTCCTAATAGTTTCTCTTTGTTAACTACAAGATAAAGTAGAAACTGTACTTTTTTTTAAATTGCAAAATGCATTAGTAAAAAGAACTAGTGACAAACTACAAATAAGGATCACTTCCGCTTCAGCTTAAACTAGATAAGGAGAAGGAATGCAATCAAAGACGGAATTATCAAAAAAGAAATCATTTTCAATAGCGAAAAGTAGCACAAAACAGCTACTTTCTTAACAATTTTCTATTGAACATGAGAAATATAAACCTGGTTGAAGTCGTTTAGGAAGAAAAAATCAAGCTCCGATTATTAGCGGTCCAAAACATCTTTATCAAAGAATTTTGAATGATTTTATAATGTTGTAATTGTTCACATTCGATATAATAACCTTTGCTCTCTACATTAATTTTGAATTATTTCGGGATCATCCAAGAAGCTCCAGTTCAAGTTGTGGCCACATCCAGGGAACTCTTTTCTCCCCGAACATAAGAAAAAGCCTGCCCTTTAAAAATCTCCAACACCACAATTCCTGCATTTAGTTTTCCATAAAGATGCCATCGTATATCTGATCTTAATCCAATCTAGAGGTGGAGGGTGCCAATTTCAATTGAGACTCCCTAAGGAGATTGGTAACCCCAGCTATCAGCATTGGATTAGCTTTCACCATAACTTTTTAGTATATATCGGATGGCTTATAGTCTTCCGTTTGATTGAAGTTCACAATAGCACTTTCAAAGGATCTCTTAGTGGAAAATTGTGATATTACTCACGCTAATGTTCCCTGATGACCTCCTTTGTGTTTGGCTCTGCTTCCACTACTAATGGCACAACTCAATAATTACTCACGGATTTTGCTATAACCGTCGACTGCATCGTTAGCATACCACTCACCACAGCATCCACATTTTGCTTCCACAGAGGGCCATTCTATGACTGATGAATTGTGTTCCATTCTCAATATTCGCAAGTGCAATTCTACATCTTATAAATACTTGGTTTTGCCTATTTTCTACAGAAAGCTTAAGCTCAAAGATTTTCAGCAGCCTTTTGGCAAAAAAGATTATACAGCAAAAGACTTTTTAGAGGGGTGGAAAGGCTATAAAGCTTTATCCCTTGCGGGTAAGATATAAATACACTCAAGTTTGAGCCATTTGTCAACACGCTTAGCGTTACCTGGATCTACGTTGTTCATTATGCCAAGGGGCTGCTACAAGCTAAAATTAATAGTATGTGCTCTAGATTCACTTATTTTGGCAATATCTCTCAGAAAAAACTCTTTACTGTTTCCTGGAAGAAATACTTGTTGCCCTAAAGCAGAATGGGGTTTGGGTATCCATCCATATGATTCCTCTATCATCAATTATGGCGTGTTCATCATTTGGAGGTTTTTGAATGCAAACAACTTACTTTTATAGTTGGATGGAGGGCTAAGTATCAATCTATTGGTGGAATCATAGCTACATTGGCAAACAAAACTCATTACCTGGGATTTTCATGTGCAAGAAATACTTGCATGCATTAAATCTTGCATCTCCCTTACTGTTAATCCGAACAGTAATTGTCTGTCATCTGGGATCCTTGGTGTAGTGGTCGCTCCATTGCTGAAATCCTGGACAACTCTAATTCTATTGCGAGATACTCTCAGTTCTTTTGCTGGAAGGTTTCTAATATTATTAGTAGGGATAATTGGAATTTGCCACAGGGTTTTGATAACCAAATTTCCTCCATTATTTATGTGGTGCCTATTGCAAATTTAGAGGAAAATCATTGTTGGGATGGCAAAGACCAGTGTTTGTTGATTTTAATTCCCAGTTTTTTAACAACTTAAGGAAAGTATCCTGGTACAATTTTATTTGGCATAAATACTATGCTCTGAGATATTCGGTGTATGCTTGGCTTGCTTTTAAAGATGACTTAAAAACTACTGATATTCTTTCTAAGCATGGGATATCTACTAATTCAAAGTGTTGTTTCTGTAATGAGGAGTTGGAAACCACCTCCCATCTTTTCTTTGAGTGCAATTTCACATTTCAAACTGCTAAGCTTATTCTCCCGTGGCTGAACGGTTTTCTGATGAGGCCTAACTTACACCAGATTTACAACTCTATTTTTGAGCAAGGATTTACGGTTCATCATAGAAACTATTACCTTCTTTCTACTTCTGCCATTATCTATTTCTTATGGAGAGCTAGAAATGATAGGATTTTTGGTGGCATTTATGACTGCCAAGCCACTGTGAGCAAAAAAATTAGAAAGGCTATTTTGCTTAAATCTCATGGCTGGAAAAAGGATCGACTCTCTGTTTCTGGGCAATGTTTTTGAACCACCTGGGTTTGGCGGAATTTACAAATGCTGCTTATGTTTTGGAACATTTTAGGGAACCTACAATTTTGGTTGGATTGGCAGGTTGTTAGGGAACAGAAATTTGAAAGGACGATGATGTACGCTGATTCAAATCAGCTGCCCCTTGGA